CTAGGCCATCCGACCGCCCCTCTTGCAGATGAGTTGCAGATTTCAAATACTGAATGCCTGTGTAACTGATTCTTGGCGTCTCTTATTTTATACTTATACAGCCAAACACCGTTTTGTCGAAGATGAAGGGACCTACGCATATAATTCGAGTTATCCGATGCTCGACACAACCAAAATTGATGAGTTTAAAGAAGAAATACGCAGGGACCAAGGTTTTACTTCGGGAAAAGCGTTAGTTAGAAACATAAATGTTCGACACCGGTGTTTTACTGTTTCAGCTAAATGAGAATTGGGTCTTTGTAATGTGGCTGACTGTGTTTGATGACAATCCATCGTCGTGCATCGCTGCTCTAACTATCAATCACTGGTTTGCCTTGTTCTGATTCAGTTACTAGCATGGTATGGTGATATCCCTATAGTATTTCTGGGACAGTCGTGTGGTTAATGTGTTCATTTGTGATCAAAGACCCCATTTTGCTTAAATAGTGCTAAATGCGGCGTAATATGATACTCACTCACTGCATTTTTTCTGACATCAACATTTTTACATACTGATGACACAGGTAACCTATTGCCAGGGCTGAGTTACCTGCACCCCTGTCAACCAGGGAGACAATACACATTTATGCTGTTGTTTTAGATATGTATACTGCGTATAACATGCACTCCGGAGATATTAATATATCACACATTGGCTATAACGATCGTGTGAAATATCTTTCCGATATTTTCACATTAGCATTTTAGAGATTATCAATGTTCATTGGTCGTTTGGAGCCATATGTGGTAGTAAGTGAGTGAGTTGGGTTTAACGCTGCTTTAAACAGTATTCCATTTATATCATGGCGTGTCAGCTAAATGTGTAAGGAAAGCCCGAAATGATGCAGGTCTTAGACGTTTACCACTTCGGTGAAACCCACGAGCACGGGTATGGTGCTGACAAACCTATTCGATTCGAACTTGCAATCATAGTGTTTCTGGCGTGCATAAGGGACGCAACTCTGCACAGCGAACTGCGGCGCCTTAGATGACACCCGTGCGCCTAAAGCCATATGAGATCACAGCGCTTCATCATGAGCCTTTGTTCATAACGTCATAATTTGTTTGCCTTACGCCATCATAACAATAGGAAGCATTCAGTAAAGCTTCTCTTTAGGGGTGACATTACATACAGTTTCTTTATTATTAGCTTACATGACTGCAAGTCTTTGATTCTTCTAAATTTTGACATCTCCTATGAAACTACTCCGCCTGTCGAGCTGAAACTGTCAATGATCCCAGCTGTCGTATCTCTAAAATACCATATTGATATTTATAATGCCATTTGCTCCCATGACTTAGCCATTTCTAAAGTATCACTATGAAGTTTGATATGTAGCAATTGTGTTGTTGTACGACCTTTGACGTTCATGTACCCCTTTATATCTGATCTCACTGCATTTGCGACATTTTCGTGGAACCTTCAGGGCATATGCAGCCGAAATTTGAATGATCCCAGCTATAGAGCTGCTAAAATGTTCACACAGAATTACAGTCCGGGCACCTTTAGAAACCCCTTGATGAGTAGGGCCTAAAGTATGTGTTCTATGTTTTGAGGGATTATGAATTTTAACCTTGAATCAACCATTACGTCATAACAGTTGGTGTCAACCGTGTTTCATCCAAATATCTGCGTACATTGGGGGGCCCAGTCGTCTGAGGCGCCGCGATTCGCTGTGCAGAGTAGCGTCCCTTGGACACGCCAGAAACCTATGATTGTGGGTTCGAATCCCGGTTCGCCCCGATTATGTTTCTAGGTTTGTCAGCACCATACCCGTGCTCGTGGGTTTCACCGAAGTGGTAAATGTCTGAGACCTGCATCACTTCGGGCTTTCCTCCCACATTAAGCTGACACGCCGTGATATAACTGAAATAATGTTAAAAGCGGCGTTAAACCCAACTCACTCACACTCACTCACTCGTTCTTAACGCGCTTCCTTTTCCAAATTTAGACCAGGTACTGCTCCTCTATAGTTGGAAACAGGCAGACATATGAATATGAATGTGAATGAAAGAGTGTTTTCAGTGTAATAAAAGTATATATTTAGGATGAACGTCATGTATTGCTGGATTTTCTTTGTACGATGATTTGCGTGAAAGTTAATTCGAAAAGGTTAGTTTTAGTTATCCCAACTTCCTGGAGTTCAGTGACACTGATAAGCTTATTTTACTTTTTAATTATTACGTATGTTTTACAGCGAAAACTGCATTTTATTCTCCAACGAAGAAAACATCTTTTATATGGCTAGTGATCGGTATTATATTTATGATATTAAACTCTTTTTATATTTACCTATTTATGCTGTATTTTCTGTGAAATATGTTAAGCCCCTCGCAACCCTTAACGGGTGGCTCACTTCAATTTAAAACAATCTATCTGTCTACTAAATCCGCGGCGTGACAGGTTAATAAATCAGCTAGCAACAAGGAAGTGTATTACAGAAAAGCTCCCCTGCAAAGCATGTTGGCCAAATGAGCCCACTCCGATATTGACGTGAATGTATGCAGAATATTGACAGTTCTTGGAAGTGTCTACCGTGACCCAGAAGATGATACAAGATATTGAACGGGCACTTTGTCCCTTAAGTGGGCATGTTCCAGCTGGTTTCACACACTCAACGATCACTATATTGAAAATGGGGGTAGACACTATCCAAGTCATAAAGAAAACACGAACATATACAAGGACAGAGGGTCGGCATGGAGGACATGTGTGAAGGCGGGTGGTGCATACCAAGTATGCGCCACGCTATGTTGCCCAGTGTCACGGCGCTTTGCTCCTGGGACCAGGGTGTAATTTAACAAGAATAAAGTAATAATTGAAAACGTGGTAAAAGTTCACAGTTTTATTACTATCCGCTAATTGTATCAATGGACGACATTATAAAGGATACAGTAATAAAATGAGAGAAGCTTAATCACCACTTTGACAATACATCGACTGAACTGAAGTTTTTTACACCCAGGCTGCAATCTGCATCATATTATATGTACGTGGTATATACAGTGTAAACATTGATGTTGAACTTGGGTTTGTAACACCTTTAATCAAAAAAGAGAAAGAAAGGAATGATTAGCTAGGTACAAGTCAAACAGTAGAGATTGTTAGCTACTGACATGAAATAAACACACCTACTTTCTAAAGGCAGACATAATCTTACAGAAACAGAGAATTTCCCTTTTGTTCCTGCTTTATGATTATCAATAAGATTATACATTTTTATATATTTGGTTTTGAGTAAAAATGTTTATGGATAAGCTTTCTCCTATCAGTTTCGAAGTTTGGACAAATAAAAAGATAATGAAATTCATCACCGACATATGTAAGGTGACATGAACTACACTTTCTTTCAATTAATGGGACTTTGTTCAATCTACCTGTCTCAATTTGGAGATCAGAGGTTCTAAATGTAAGCAATATTCTCTTGCAGAATACTCAGATACTATTCAAAATGACGTTTTTTAACAATGTTATAAGTAATTTCAGAAGAGGTATTTTTTACAGAAGATGCCCATATTTGCTGATGAATATCATTCAATTTAGTTTTGATGACAATTTTTAGCCAATGGATATTTTTGAATTTCTGTGCTGTCCAAATGTGGCTTAACCCAAGATTATCGAATGTTCTCTTAATGCGGATTATCCATTTATGGTCATACGATTAAAAGAAAGTGGTCATTAAAAATTGGTTTGTAAATAACCAGAGATAATTTCATATCATTCTGCCTTTAACTAGGTTAACAAGCTACCAACCTCTTAAGAAACCATTAAGGTGGTGGTATTTAAGAAAGCGTAAGTGTACATTTTCGAAACAAAACATATTTTCAAAACCATACATTTTGCACCTGCAAAGGAGTATGGGGGTAACCATATAGTACAAGAGGCCTTAAGTGACAATCAATTGACAATTTTAATTTTAATTTTCTACCTTGGCTTAAGACAAAGAACATGGCCTTTGTTGCTTTTTCAACTACGTTTGGTTGGATGAATTTATTATTATTTTGTAAATAAATCGACAAAACTCCTTCCATATAAAAAAGAAATCTCTGCATAAAGCAGAGTCGAGTGTACAATTGCGACTATATGAAACGCCAAGGTAACGGTGAGAACCAACATTTTCTAAGATGGTATCTCCAAATATTAAACTTTAAGTCTTTTTTGGATCCACTAAATATCAGAGTTTTGGTTTTGCATACATTAATTTCCAGCTTTCGGCGACACCCATTTTAGTTAAAGCAGAGTCGTTTGTACGATTCTGACTATGTCATGAGCATGTATTACATATCACTATCAGACAGTGATGAATACCAAACGTACAATTAGGCTTCAGAAAGGTGTTTAATTTGTACAGGTGACTGCCATAAAAGTCGAGCCTCAAGTGGTGTAATCTACAATTATTTTGATATTAGGCATACATTATGCATTATGCTTTTCTTTTTCAAATAATATTCAAGCTGGGGGGTGGGCGATATATGAACACGTTATGCAAATATCAAATATAAATATTGTTTCTGGCAATAAGGGTACCAAGGAAAAAACGAGTTCCCCAACGAAGAAGTTTACATTAGAAGTTAATACATGTGTAAACCTTGCACATTTAGAAGTTTCCTAGTCCAAAGAAAAGATAGGTGATACATTTCTCTGCAAATATATCAATATTGGGTCGGGAATATCATATTTTACTACTTTGTCCATTTTACTTTGGACTCGAACATCACTTAGACAGACCGTGTCGTGAGTTTTAAATCAATTACCAAAATCAAACAGAAAGTGTGTGTTACGACCAATCCAGCTATATATATGCCCTGTTGAGATTAAAACTAATAAAAATATGCATGTTAAAAGAGATCTATAATAGTTTATGTTTTATATAGTAAATTACACATTAGTTTGTTTCTGAACACATGAACTTGATGTTAAAAGATGGTTATAACTGTATAAACAGTAACAATTTCCTATATATACTTTTACTAATCAACTGCACTCAAACAATGTGCCTGGTCATTGTGTCTGGGGGCACGGGTGGCCCAGTCGTCTAAGGCGCTGAGATTCGCTGTGCAGAGTCGCGTCCCATTGGGCACGCCAGAAACCTATGATTATGGATCAGAATCCCGGTTATGAATACCCCCACACACGAATACATGCACTACCCCATTAACTAGTACTTGTAATGATAAATTTGCAAAGCTCTGGTTCCATCATAACTCTTTGATTCTTGCAAATCTAATAACCTGTCAATTTTAACATTAAGTTCCTCACTCCTTTTCACCTGTTTTCTTAGAATATGCTCAGCATTTCCTGGATTATCTGCGGTCGCACTTCGAACCTTCCTGTAAGACATCACAAATCTCTTTGTAGTGTATCCATCAATATTTGATTGAACGGCTTCTTTTGTATGGTCTTTACAATGAACAAGTCTACAGATTTTCCGTTTTAAAATACAAGCATAAAACCACCCTTCAATGAAAATGATAATTGACAACTTTTGTAACCGCCAAACCATTTCAGTGTTCGTTTGTGTATCATGGAATCGATTGGTCATCACACCAATGAGGGCATTGATCATCAACAGAAACGTGATCAGTATGAACAAACCAAACAGAAATACTATTATCCCATCTTCACGGGATTTCAATAGTTGGTCAATTTCTGTTAAACCAATCATCAGTTTACCCATGGTTAGTAAAGACATGCCGTATTGTGAAAACTCCTCCAGAACACTGCTATTTTGTTCATTGTGTAGAAACGTTGCATGCATACACGCCGAGAACACAAACACCTGCATGAGGATGAGAACGGCAAATGGCACCACAGTTTTGAACAACGCCTCATTCAGTAGTACAATATACAAGCTGAAGCGTCTGCTAATACGCAGAAAGAACAATATTGGCCATGTCCCTACAACTATAGCCAAAATCAGAAAAGTGGTTTTGTAGTCAACAAACACTGAATTGGGTATCCTGTAGAATATCGAATCGGCAAACAGGCAAACAGCGAACAGGACAAAGAGGACCCTGTAGACGACGTTGTGGTGTACCGCTGTCCATGCAAATGGTTGTTTTGCAAAATAATACCGAAGTGGGAATTCCTGTACAAAGTACAGAATAGAACAGAGAAATGTAACAATGTTACAGATTTCAAGAAATAGTCGTGGTGACCAGGATATGCCTTCAGTAGCACCAGCCCTCGCAACGACATACACACACAACAAACAAATCAGCGAGACGTGGAATACACTCAGAATCCAAAAGGGAACCCAATATGTATTCAGTTTGCGCCGGACCATTTCTTCAAACACGTCTGCGCGAACCAGTTCAGTTGCGACTGGTAGATCCTGACAGCAGAGAAGTTCAGCAACAGATTGGTTACTAAAGTCTGGGGTTGGGGTAGTTTGGCCGTTTTGTCGCGCAGCATGTGTCTCTTTTGGGTGACCATTTTTGTCCTGTGTTGGATATGGTTGAGCTGTGATGGAAGCAAACTTGTCCATCTCGGTAACATCACATCGTCGTATCTCATAGATGTTGTCATGGGGATATTCAATGAGATAAACTCCTTTAACTTTCATAAAGTAGGCAAACAGATTAATGTGACCGCTTTCTGTTGCAAGTTGAAGTGCTGTCATGTGAGTTTTGTTTTTTGTAAAAAATAGTTTTCTTTTATAGTCAAAAACATCTTCACGAGCTTCCATTGCTCTTTTATCCATTAAGGACTCCAACCATGGCATCATGTCTACTGTACGTCGCTCCAGCGAAGGAAAACATCTTACAAATCGCATGATGCTGTGAAGAACTGTATCTCCTCTGTAGTTTTTCTCTTCAAAAACGCCTTCTTTTTCCACAAGCAATTGGATAATCTTCACAAATCTATTTTCTGGGTCCCTGCATGTATCGTCTTTGTTAGGGTCGTTCAAGTAACACAGGACAGCCGTGTGAAACGGCAACTGGCCCATGAACACTGTTCCATTCATCCTTCGACCAATCCTGTCAGCTTCCTCCCTCTCAAACGTTTCATGCATGCGTTTTACCAGGCCAACCTGACCATGGGCCACTGCAATGTGGAAGGGTGTCAGTCCTTTATATGTGTCCTTATTATCAGGCCATGTTCCAATGTCAGTGTTGATAAGATCCGGAGTACCTTCTAAAATAGCTGAAGCTGTTTCTGTTTTGTCAAAGCACACTGCCAGATGTAGAATTGTGTGGCCCCAAAGTTCTTCATAGTTTTTTCCCCTTCATGTCCATCTTTATTCCCTCTCTCACTTCTGTATCGGTAATATTTCATCATATCTGCCTTTTCTTTTAATTCCTTTTTGTAATAATCAAGACATTCGGTATCAGTTACTTTCCTGGAGATAATCTTCACCACAAAACGTTCAAAGAATTTCAAATCTGGAAAATAACCATTAAATATGCATTCATATTCATTCTTTCCACAGTACATTATGCGATTAGTAAACCCGAACTATCTTTTTGTCAAACATAAACACTGCCTTTCCAAATTTGTAATAAAACCAAACATTTGTTTTGCTAATTAAAGAACTGTGTTGAGTGTGTTGGGCTAATGTCTAACATCTTCTTCTGAATGATAAATACACAATGTAGGTGTGTTTTTGAACACATGGATTGTGTATATGAATATTCTTTCTAAAGCTTAACATTAGTAACAGTTGTTCTTGAATAAATGTTGATTCATTGATTCACGAAAGGAATTCAAAATGGCCTCTTCAACAACATACATACTTACCAGTAACAGTTTCCCGCATTTGCTTCCATGTCAACCGCTCTTTGAAACACTTGTCTTCAGCAACCTAGGTCAACATGCATGTATGCACAATGTCATTAAAACGCGTTTCGATAATAATCCAAATATTTTCTTTCTCAGGTTTTCAAGTGAGAACATACATATTTTTAATATTTCTTTTACGAAACATGACAACTTGATGCTTAGAGTGAATACGTTTTTAGTAAGAATTTTTTAGTAAACTTTTATGTTACATTATGATATGGGTATTCCTTTTCCATGCGACGATGGAGGTCCAGGGACTTTTGTTTTTAACATTCTAATTGTTCGGTCACTGCCTCAGTACATGCACATAGAATAAGAATGGAGGAGTTGAAGTATATAAATAAACTGAACTAAAAAGTTAGGGATGAGGAATATTGATGGGGGTATTTTTGTCGTGTAAACTATTTCATAAAAGAAATCCCCCAAAATATTCATGATTGCTAACTTTTTTGTTCAGTATATTTTCTACAGCACCCCTTTCACACCTCTCGAATGGTCGGTCTCTAATTACAGAGACGCTAAGAGAGGAACAATTAACAGGTCGTGTGCATAATATTGAAAACGTCAACGCCGGAGAATAATTAGTTTCGAATACACGACGAAACAGATTCCAGGCAAAAGGAACAGCTTCTGTTATAGTAGCTAACCTGGAATTCTTGTTTGTTTCCTTCTCGTTTTCCAGAGAGCACTGTCAAAAAGCCTTTGTTCTTGTTGTCTACAAGGATTCTTTCCACCAGATTGGCGGACTTTTGACTTATGGCTTTGAGACATTTCTTCTCGAGATCATCGATGACCTTCTTCCTCTGCCTATCCTTATCCTTGTCCTGCTGTTCATTCTTTCCTTGCGTTTTGGAATCGATGAACAATTCTATGACTTTATTGATGGAGATGATGGCAGGGTACACTATATCGAACAGATCGTATTACTTATACATGTACATTATATTCCACAATACACAGAAGTTTAGTTAGATTTACAATAATAACTCGTTAAAACGAAATAAAGTTGCTGTACGTAAATAGTACATTATTCAATATAGGTTTCCGTCCGTTCTTTAAGCTAGTAGACGTTTGAAATATTTTAATACTTGCAGTGCGAAGGGGTTACTTATTACACAAAAGTTCTTAGCAACCGAGGGCGACTACATCCTGATGACTTATGAGAAATGCTATATGACTACACCTGGAAAGAGTTAAACATCACTTTATTATTTTCATATACTGGTACTTTTGGGACTTTACAGTGATGGGCACGCCAGAAACCTGTCATTGTGAGTTCGAATCCTGGTTCGCCCCGATTATGTTTCTAGGTTTGTCAGCACCATACCCGTCTGAGACCTGCATCACTTCGGGCTTTCCTCCCACATTAAGCTGACACGCCGCGATATAACTGTAATACTGTTTAAAGCGGCCTTAAACCCCACTCACTCACTCACTCACTCACTCACTCACTCACTGTACAATGATACCTTTGGTATTATCTTTATATGAAGCTGGCCTCATTTTAAAAATGATCAACGATGAAAAGTTGGTTTAAGAAAGAACCATTTACATTATATTCCGCCAGATGGTCACAATAACTTGGTCTCATCTTAGATGGGAAGATTCAAAGGAAGCTATATACAGGGGTAGTCAAATACTGTTGCCATGGAATGTTTTTATAACAAAATATTTCATTACAGAATCGATTTGTGTTTCTATATTTCGATGCCACAGAGTATGCCACATTGTAAACAAACAAAAGATGTTTCGTCAAGCAATATACAGTAAACTACGGTTATAACGAACACGCTTATAACGAACTGACCAATATATCGAACTTATTCTTAGTCCCGGCCATTTGTTATATATATGCTGTGTATATGCTTATAACGAACTACGGTCATAACAAACAAAAATTAGTGGTTCGTTATAACCGTAGTTTACTGTACAAATGATACGAATTTTTGCCATGTCTCTTTCCATGGAATCATAATACCACGTTCTTAATATTGTCCAGGAGTGGCCCAGTCATTTCGTTCGCTGCATATGTGGACTTGCATCGCTTTGTCGTGACAGAAAGCAATGAGCATCAGCCGGCATTCCAGACACGTTTCTGGTTTTCTTAACTCCTTACCCGCGCATGTGGGTTTCAAGTGGTAAAATCTGCTTGCTTTCGGACTGTTTTCTCTTATCAAGCTGACACGCCGTAACGTAACTGAAATACTGTTCAAAGCGGCATTAAACCAAACTCACTCTCTCACCTCTCACCGATTAGCATACCTTGGCCATTACTGCGATATTGAGCTGTGTATGTAAAGTAAGAAAGGGACTCTCGATAAAGATCATGTTTGGTTAGTTTGAACACGAGAAATGCCAAACATGTCCGTCAGAAGCGACATGGGCCAAAATGACTAGAGTCTTAAATTCAAATCAAATAACTGCGTCATGACAATAGTGAAACAATCATGGCATCTTGCCGATACAACTCAAACAAAACACGATGTACAGCTTTTCCTCATCAACGTATGCAAAGGGTAATCCATTGATACAGTAAGTAACAATAAATGAACGTACCCCCACCAAAATTCACACATACTGAAATGTTAGGTGAGATGACGTGAAATGGGGTGTAACGTCGCGTCCAGGATTATTGCACTTAAAGCAACGGGCGTGTTGGATACCCCAGTCACACCCTATACTGACTCCAAGCCAACAGCCCTTGTTTTATCTTCTTAATGCCCAGCACCGGGGCACCGTCTTTTAACGTATTTTGTTATAAAGTGGTGGAGGATCCAACCACCGATCTTTCCCTCTCAGGGCAGACGCTCTATCCTCTGACCACGGATGCTGTTGTAAGTCAAGAGATTTGAATATTGTTATCGATTTACTTCGTATTGAAACGATGAACATGATAGCTGATCCTCTGGACATATTTGGAGATTATGCATATCTCTACAAATGCGACCGTGAAGATCCGGTCTTCAGCAACCCATGCTTGTCGTAGGAGTCGACTAACGGGATCGGGTGGTCAGCCTGCCGACTTGGTTGATGCTTGTCATCGTATCCCAATTGCGTGAATCGATGTTCATGATGTCAATCACTGGATTGTCTGGTCAACATTCGATTATTTACAGAACGCTGTCATATAGGTGGAATATTGATGAGTACGGCGTTAAACAACAAACAAAACAAAACAACTACAAATGCATTATGTTGTAATTCTAAGGAATATATGTCAAATCCCGAGAAAATGAAGTACTCACACTCAAACATTATGCGTTGAACATCTTTCCGTCTCAGAAGATTTTCAAATCCACGTTTCGCCTTTGCGAGAGCCTTTTTCCCTTGCTGTTGCACAGAATAAAACTATGATGGCACATCAAAACAAAACTATATAATAAAGGAATTTATTTGGCTAACGAGAAATTGATTATGGTACAATATGAGCTCCGAAACATAATTAAAGAAGAAAGTAATATATTCTCAAAAGCAGTTCTTGGAATGTTTGATTTTCATACTCAAACCTTTCTGTGAATTTCTGGTTTTGAATCAAATATCCTTTTTGAAGGGATTGCTTCTACTCTTCTCTAAAATGACAGATATCAATGCCTTCTAAGCAATGTTCGGAAGTGCAGAGTTAAATTCCACTTTTGGTCGTTAAGATAATATTTCACCTGTAGAACGGACAGTTCGCGAGCCATATGGTTGGCGTATATCACCATTATTTTTCCATTTGAGTGTAAGTAAATATGTGGGTTTTTCTTTAAATTTTAAATCGTGAAAGGTATATTTTGCAAACTGCAAAGGAAGACTTTTATTCACTCCCTTTCTTCAGATTAACTGAACTGTTCACATATACAATTATAAATAGGGGGATTCCACAAAAGTCTTTCCGTGAAGGGGCTGCTGTCAACTGCTTTGAACAGTACTTCATTTTCAGCATATTAGCTTACTATGGTAGCTGAAAAGGGCCATCGCCATATCGCCTTGAGATATCCACGCAATATCGCGACAAAGCGATAGTACGACACCATACTGCGATATCGCAACACGACACAGTGAAAGTGCCATACAGTAAAGAAAACCGAAATAACGATAACATAAATCGACAAAGCTATTGCACGACACGACTTGACATGGCGATACCATGACACGAAATGCTATAACACGACACAACATGGCGATACCATGACTCGACATGAACACGATACGACATGGCCAGAACACCACACGAGATTGCGATAATGCGATATAGCGACACTGCGATATGGTCACGCGAAAAGACGATATCGTATCTACTGTTTGTGTGTGTGTGGCTGCGTGAGTGTTTGACTGCGTGTGTGTGACTGCGTGTGTGTTTGACTGCGTGTGTGTGACCGCGTGTGTGTGATTGTGCGCGTGTGTGTGTGCGACTGTGTGTGAGTGTGGATAACGTAATAGCAACCTTTGTATGTAAAACATGAATATGATGTCATTGTGTCACGAGTTGTCTGAATCAACAATAATTTTACGTTTAGTGGCAGCGTTCCGAAAACGCCATTTACAAATATATTCCTGGAAGGTCATCATCATCTGATCGAGCCAGAAAACAGGGTGATGTCATCTGCTTTTGTTAGGGAGGAGCTGTTCAGATCATGAATCATGGCACCGCGAGGGCAGTCAGTAAGCTGTCTAAGCTGTTCATATCCACATATATGGATAGTATAGTTCTAAGAATCTGAACAGGGATCCCAATGAGCATACATTTGAAGAAGAGTCCCAAGTGCCATACACAATCAAACGCTTTTTTCTGCATCCAGGAGGTAGGGCAATAAAACAATATTATCCTATGCACACACCACCACCCCAAACACCCCCCCCCACCCCCACCCCCCACACGTCAGGTTCAATGAACTACATACTGCCTGTGTGTTTCTTTTTTGGAAGAGTGTATATATTTTTCTAATGTCATGATCCAATTTAATGATAATAGTATTGTTTCAGCCACTCATCTAAAGACAACACGTGTGACTGAGCTGAAAACGAAACACGGCATAGCGAGAGTGCAGGACCCATCCATGTCCCCCACCACCCTCACACGTAACACAAATAATCAAGGCCTCGACCTGACAGTTATGAAACGACATGCGGATCCGGGGTAGAATAGGTCTTCATCAACCCATGCTTGCCGTAAAAGGCGACTATGCTTTTCATAAGAGGCGATTAAGGGGGTCGAGTGGTCAGGCTCGCTGACTTATATGATGCATGACATCGTATACCAATTACGTGGATGCTCATGATGTCAATCACCGGATTGTCTGGTCCAGCCTCGATTATTTACAGACCGACGTCGTATAGCTGGAATATCAGAGTGCGGCGTGAAACAACAAACCAACAAATTTAGTTATACAATCAAATATGAATTTCCTAAGTGAACACGAACCTACTCAGTGAGGGGTCCTTTATCCCCCTTATTCGACTTATTCGGAAATCTGATATCTCAACTCACAGCTAGTTAACATATATCTTGCACTAAATATTCGAAACATAGTGAGTGAGCTGGTTTGAACGACATATTCGAAATGGCTACAGCTCTCCAGTTTGAAAAAAGTGTGTGTGTGCTATTTGAGGCCGCACTCAGCAATATCCTCGTTATAAGAACACCGAGTCACGCCACCAGAACCACACACATTCAATCATGAATGGCTCGCACTATTAGTTTTAGTTTGCTATTGACCAATTCCGACCCGGATTCGTCGCCGATAAACGTTGAGTAGAGGATAGGATCTGAAACAATTAATAGTTTTAGGAGATTTACAGAGGAAACTGCCCTCCTGAGTAGATTCCGATTGTTGTTTTGTAGCACAAAACCACTGATCATACAAAGATCAACAAACAGATTACCACCTGGCTGTTCCATGAGCGACTGGTCCTCCCTGGTATGGGATGGCGAAAAATATCAACAATATGATGATCGTTTGTTAAACAATTTATTTATTCGGGTGACCAAAATTATGAGACAAACCATCAGAGTTGGTCTGTCCAATTCATGTCGCTGTGCACATTTTGGTTTTGTTGCAATTATTAAATTTTGAGTTAGTAAGCAATTCATCGGTCTCAGATGGAATCAAACGGACTGTAGTCAAATTCATCGTCATGGTCTGCACGTGTACAACATGCGCACACCTCTCCAACTGTAACACACCAAGGTTTGCCGAAGTTCTGTGCACCGCCTACTTGTCCCAAATGCGCTTTGTGAGTTGGTCCAACCTTTCCTGGATTACCAGTAAGAACCATAGACCTTTCAGACAACTATTACAAATAGACAAATAGTTAAATTTCGCGAACATGTAGTTTTGTACATTACAGACAAATGTGTAAATATCACAAATGAACTGAACTCATTGGGTTTTATATTGAGAGAGGTACCTAATATATTGTTATATTTAGTGGTGATTAATTTCACTTTCAACTCAAAGTATATTATCAAAATGAGTATTAAACTGATTAATTGCGAGAAAATGTTGATTAAAATACCACAATTACAACGCTGACTCGCGATTTTGTGTTTTTGTGGCTAAGTCGAGATTGCGAGATTTTTCATCATGTCCTAATTTTCATTTGGCCAAATGTCGCGTTCTCGCGATCTCACATTCTCGTGTGTTTGGTATATTTAGCTCGTTTCCAAAAGTCGAGATCCCTTACAGTATTTCATACTTTTGTTCTTATTTACTTTATTAGTACAGCGTTGAGGATAGTGATTTATGCCAACAGACATGAGGGTGGCAGCGTAATGATGCGGGGATGTTTTTTATGTATGATTTCACATAACGAATATGACATGCATCAAGAACATAACAGCGCATTCTATTAGCCTATTTTTTACGATTCGGTGATAACACGTTTCTAATTTGTTCGATTAATCAGTCTTCTTGTCATTGAATAACAAAACATATTTGCGGCGAGGATGGAATATTTTGTTATTGAATTACATCAGTTGCGCTAGGGTTAGATATGGTATACCTTCGTGCTTGCTTATTCAGTATAGGGGCTTATGAGTGCGTTTATCTAACTTACTGCCCGCTCTCTTATTATGAGATATGTTCATTGGGATCCTACATATGTCCGCTTACCTTTACTTCTCAAATGGATACTGAGCAATATCGCCCGCCATGTCGCCATATCGTAATATCGATTTTTGCTATTTTGCCGCATCGCGTGACCATATCGCAATGTCGCGTCGTGTTGTTGCCATGTCGTGTTGTATTATCGCCGTGTCGGGTGGTATTATCGCCATGTAGCGTCGTATTATCGCCATTACGAGTCTTGTTATCGCAATGTCCTTGCGTGTTGTCGCTATATTATATCGCGATATCGCAATGTATTGTCGTACTATCGCTTTGTCGCCATGTCGCATGGATATCTTAGGGCGATATGGCGATGGCCCTCATCAGCCACCATAGGTTACTGTGTGCGGAAAGACTGACGTGATGTAGGTATAGGGTGTTTACCACCCTGTTGAAACCTATCAGCACAGATATTTTCCGGACAAACGAAGAATAAAATTAACGACAAATCTGAGATTTGAACCAACGCCCACAGGATTCTCGAACTCTTAATGGATGCAAACTCGAACACTAAAATGCGTGTTTTAGGCGACGTTATATATATGGAAGAATGTATATCATCAGAATAATTTCACGCTATACCTGATGTTCAACTTCGTCTTTGAACAGCTTACGATAGCCCTCTAACTTTTCAAATTCTGCTTCTTTCTGGCTCTTTGTGCCATCTGGAAGAACGTTGGCATCGCGGAGCACTGTATCCCAATGTTTTTGCAATTCCTGTGGATTTCCTTTCTGTATATCCCAAACTGCCTTGAATTCTTGAATAAAAACATGGTTTGATGGTTTTAGTGTGAGTAAATTTTAACATTTGGTTTCCTTTTAAGTTTAAAGAGAAAGGTCTACAGGCATGATTAAGTATATGCATGGTAAATGTGAGGTGAAATGGGGTTTAACGTCGTGTCCAAGAGTATTGCACTTTTATAGCGACGTGCAAGCACGTGTGTGTGTGGCTGCTTGTACTAGTCCGGACTTAAGCCGATTTATAGTGCAAGCACACTGAGATACCATGCCGCAGTTTAACATGAATACCCCTCTCAGACTCAAAGCCGACAAGTCCTTGTTTTAGCCAGACAGGGTAACAACAAGTGCCATCTTTCAACGTCTTTTGGTATGACGCGGCCGGGGATCGAACCCCGGACCTTCCGCTCCCCGGGCGGACGCTCTACCTCTAGACCACGGAAGCGGTCTGAATGGTAGAGACAGTGATGACAACATGTATGTGATCAGGGCGTTTATTTTCACCTTCAGATATTTTAAGCGACAAATATGCAATGTGAATGTTTTAGCCACGTTTAATACTACAGGTTGATATACATTCCTTCCATGCGAAGTTCGCTCAAGTACTTTGAATATGTGTCATGATCTAGCTTATCTGTATACACCTCAATATATGTTGCGAATTTATCAGGCGTTTGGCAAATGTAAACATCAATTTACACTTTAACACCATATTTTGCTGTCCGAATATAACAGGCATTGACCAGTCCATATTCAGTATCTTTGTAGGCTTATTCCTAATACAGTTTCGGAAAACACAAATTATAACTTAAGGGATAAAACTAATCTTCAAAGTGAAGTGTAAAACAAAAGCTCACGCAGATTCATTTATACCAGTTACAACACAACTTCAGAATATGTTACCAGAAAACCTAACGGGGGCAGAGACCGTTACAAAATTTAAGAATTTGCTTCACATGAGAGGAGATAATGGTATACACTTGGATTTAAATAATGGAAACAGGTTTAATATGTCAAATTATTCACAGTCGCCTCAGGCATGGCTGCAGCGATCTTAACGCAGAGCAGTACAATAGATATATTTTGGATATCAAAACTTGTTCCTGTTGATATCATACCGAAGATGCTTTACACTTTTTGTGTGTGTGTACACATTACTATATTCTTCGAAATGAAATGTTATTGTTATTCTTTACAAACCGTGCTAAGCGGAAATTCGCATTTGAGTAAGCAAAAGCAAATCCAAACAAAAGATTCTATTCAAAACTTCATATTAAAACGGATTTAAGACAGATTTTCAATTAAGTAAATGATTGTTAAATATAAACAGCAAATATATTCATTATATATACACATCTAGCTTGGCATGTGCAATTCACTTGATACATCTCACCTCCATTGATGTATTTATTGTATTATGTCTTATGTGAAATGGAGCGGTATTAACATAAGCGCTTCGCTTGTTTACAATCCATGTTCACATTTTTGTGAGAATAAATCTGTTTAAATCATATTCTGTATCTGCCGTGCTCCCTAGTATCTTATCGGCGTCTGGTTCTATGTTATAATTGCGACATGCCATTTCAAACCCAAAATTCAGAGTGATATTTCTGAAAAGAAAAATTGAAATAATACAAATTAATATAAATTCCTTCCCGGTAAAGGCTATCACCTAAAATCAAAATAACAAAGCAGATTTTAGTCAAAGACCCATCTCTTGGGGTAGAAGTTCATCTCTGTCACCATTCTATGGTATTTCTGGAAAGGAAAGTAAACTTACAAAGTTGTAATATACGTGAAAGTCTTAATGTTGCTGATTAAGCGCAAAGATATAAACTCTCGCTGACTGCTCAGTAACATTCATGTAATATTAGTAATATTCAAATAAGTTTACTTGTTCATGGTGTGTGTGACGTGGATACATACATGTATATATAAGCAACCAATGTATTATGATCAGGGTTCATTGGTATCCCTTCAGCAAGTGCGAATCAGGTCCTGACACATCTGTTTTGTCATGTATCACGCGCTATACAGTCGAGCCTCGCTTATCCGGACACTTGCTTTTTCTAAAATGTTGTCCGGATAAATGAGTTTCTGGATATCTGAATACCTTGTTAACTGACCAGAAGTCCTTCCCCTACCTCAATTCTACCGAGGCATATGTGAAATGAATGGCCAAAATATGATCTACCAATTACTAATAAAATACATTGTGCTGAACAGACCTACACAACATGCGGTGACAGCGCACTGCATTATTATAACGGCTGAAGAAATGCCAAGCAAATGAGGAAAAGATTTCTGTGATGAGTGTAGAACTCTGTGTGTGTGTGTGTGTGTGTGTGTGTGTGTGTGTATAAATACTGTGCACTATGTTTCCACAATGACTTCAAGTGGAAAGTGTTCATTTCCGATGCGAGATATTATGTTTAATTGTATATAGCGTGTAAATGGCAATAAGTATGACACTTGTGTCCCATCCCCTTCTCTCCCTGGACAATAAAATATATTTGGTACAAATGAAAAAAACATACATCATACCATATTACATGTCTCTTATTCCTGCGTGTAATATATTAGATACACTGCAAAAAAACAGAACAAGTATGTGTGTAGACTTTATGGTCAAATGCACAGAGCGGATTAGCAGTCGGAGGTTCATTGCATTGGCGGTGACTTCTTTATTATTATCACTTGAAAGTGTTGAAATCGATTCGTGCTGAGCTCAGATTGGTTTGTACGGGATGTCGCGAAGTGATTTGTAACATGATTTGTGCATAGCAGATTAGCCAACTGGGTGGATTGCACAGAGGATGAAAGCTATATCATTATTACTTAAATGTGTTGAATTTGGTTTTACGGTTTAATTGTACGGCATACATTGTTATAATGTGAAATCTCCGCTGAAAATCGCGTGTTTTAAAACAGTAGTCCTCGGAAAAATCAACTTCCGTGTAAAAATATAATCAAAGATTTAAAAGAAAGTACTCCGAAAAACCGTCGCGGATTGTCCTGTTTTTGATCAGAGCTTTCAGCACCAAACATGCCTTTATTATTATTCATAACACAATGCTATTATTGTCTGATCTTAAGTTTCCGGGCATCATACACAGCAAAAAAAATGCAGTTTCCGGTATCCGGATACCTGCCGGATACCACCGGACACTTACCCAAAACGCGTCCGGGTATCCGGTGGCAGATACCTTGCCGGATACCAGATCCGTGGTATCCGGCATGGACACCTCACCTGAAAGTATGCCACCTGGAATCCGGGTATCCGGCACCGGATACCTCACCGGATACCTCAATCTGGGTGTCCAAGGATCCGCACCGGATACCAAGAATCCGGCACCGGATACCTCATTCTGAGTTTCCAAAAACATGTAACAATTTGGGGGTGCATTTTGTTCAATTAAGTGTGAAACACCTAAATATATATTGGAAACTAACCATGAAAATTGAACATTGCTGAAGGTATCCGGCAGGTATCCGGCAGGTATCCGGATGCAATTTTTCGAGATGTCTTATTTCTGGTAAATAATGTTAGCCTGGGCATATCAGATAGCTGTAGTAATATTCTGTGTCATTTTAGTTGTAAATATCCCCTTAAAGTTGAGATCTATGGCCATGTACTTTTGGAGAAGACAATTTTTTTCAATTTCATCTATAATTCCTTTTAGATGTTAAGCTGTTTAATGAACAAACATCAGTTCTAATACATGTATGATGATATCCTTAAATTTCATGTTCAGACTTCCAGATTATTCTGAGTGAAAGTATAAACTCAGCGACTGTGTGCTCACTTGGGCCTTTGGTCCTAGTGAGATGATAATATGATTATTTGTAAAGGTACAAGTACTTGTTATGAGCATACCAGCTTCATTTAAGTTTGAAACACAATATGCCTCACTCTGAGGGTGACATGTACCAGATTTCATCACACTACAGAGAGCTGTTCCTCAGTTACTGTGAACATTTTTACTGAAAGACATTGAAAGCTAATTTGACCTTCAATATCAGTTGCGACTATTTCAAAAACAATTGTAAAGTGCTTCATTCAGTGTAATATTGACAAACATATGACAATGATATACAACTATGTGTATAAGAGTTATTTAGACTTCTGCGGGAAAAGGCACATTAGAGAACAAGAGTCATCAGAAAGATGACATATCCCCCCGGCAGCTGTCTGTAAAGTAACCACTAGTGCATTTCTGTATGTAATGAGTCAACAGTTGAATGTTCTTTCAGAAGCATACATTGTTTACCCACAAAAGATCCACCATGGTCGCATCCATATGAATGCCAAGTTTCGATCAAATACATTGAATGTTTTTCGAATTCTGCCCCAGAAATGAACCTCATCCCCAATTGAGTCTATGTCCAACTTGATTCCATTAAAAAAAAAATTTAAAAAAATTTAGAAAAATCCCAAAATTTGAAAGGCACCACTTCAGTATGTGCATGATAGCTTTGCCAAGTTTTGATCAAATACACTGAATGGTTTTCGAATTCTGCCCCGGAAACGAACCCCATCCCCAATTGAGTCTATGTCCAACTTCATTCCATAAAAATTTAAAAAAATAAAAATTAGAAAAATCCCAAAATATCAAAAGGCACCACTTCAGTATGTGCCTGATAAGAGTTGCCAAGTTTCGATCAAATACACTGAATGGTTTGGGAATCCTGCCCCGGAAAAGGAAATGATTACGGACGGACAGACGGACAGACAGGCTGATCACTATATCCCCTGTATTATATGCCGGGGGATAAAAAGTAAGTGTATGACCTGTTGCCAACTTCTATCCCTGCCCTAAGGAAGAGTTTGGCCATTAACAATTTTTTTGTCTGGCTGTGACATTGACCTTTGACATAGCAGATCAATGTGTTATTCCAAAGATGTCCAAGCAATGCATGGTTTTATACGATAACTGTGGCTATCAAACTGAGGCAAAATATTGGAAAATCCCCATTTACACAGCTGGCTAAAGAAACAAACAACAAACAAATTATCAAT